CGGTTCCGCGGGCGCGGAGCGGCTCACCTGCCCCGCAGAGCGGTATGCGCCAAAGGGAAGGTGGGTGCATGGCAGACCTCTAACTCCCCGAAAAAGTCCACCCGCCCAGGGCACCGCGGTGCTGCCCATCTGGGCTCCCCGGAGGGCGGCGGGCGCCGGGGGTAGCGGGGCGGCTGCGGAGCTCATCGGGCGCTCCGGAGGAGCTCATCGGCGCTGCTCAGCGCCGTGCTGTCCCCTTGCCGCCGGCAGGCATCAGGTGTCGGGGTTGCCTCAACATCTGGAGGGTCTCCAGTCCGTGGGCCGCCCACTCTGAGCAGGGGCCGGGGAGAGCCCAGCTCTCCCCCAAACTTGAAAAGCATCTGCTGGGGACTTAACCCCGTGGCCCCATGACTCTAATACCCAACTGAAACAATAAGATACGGAGTGGGGGTGTGTGTGAATATAAGCTGTGTGATGACAAATGTTTCATTTGCCCCAAGCACACTCTGGCTTATTTTAACCTCGGCTACACAGGAGAATGCCTGGGGGCAAAGTAAAAATAGATACTTAGCTAAAAGAAGAGAGGTCCCAGCATGGGGCGTGGGGCAGCACGTGGAGCATGAAGCTGGGGTTCTGAGGCCACCCACAGCAGTGCTGGGGCATGGGGATCCACACCACACTGGGGATGGCAGCCTCTGGGTGAGTGCAGCACTGGCACCACACACTCCTTCAGGGCACAGCCCTTTGCCCCCCTGATTCCTGTGTCTCCTCTGTAGGTCTGCTGGAAATCTCCCCCGTGGAAAGAGGAGTGGTGAGCATATTTGGTGTTAGAAGTGGACTCTTCGTGGCCATGAATAGCAAAGGCAAACTTTATGGATCTGTAAGTAGCCACCAAGCGTGTGCCTGGGGAGGGGACCATGGTCAGCTGGGGTGAGAGGTGTGCATGGTGCTAAAAGCTGCCCAAGCCCCATCCTTGCCCCTCCTGGGTCAGGCAACACAGAGCAGCCCTTGCTGCTTTGCCAACAGAAGCTGTGCTGCCCAGGTATGCTGCTTGCTGAGATTTTGAAATGAAACACACTTTTGTGTAGTTCCCGCATAAAAACTATAGTCACCCAACCATAGCTACCCATCTTGCCTACCACATAGACCAACAGAGTAGTCATTTGTGCAGCAAGACCTCAAGCTAGCCTCAGTCCATGTCTTTCTTATATTTAAGTACAAACAGCCTTAAGCAGGTATGGCAATTGCTTTCTCCTTCTCTCAGAGGGCACTTGAACTTGTGATCAGCCAGGCCCCCACAAATGACCCTTTACGATGTGATGAATCAGTGCCTGTCACATACCTGTTGATCACTCTTTGTTAATGCTCTTGATTGGAGAGCCTGCTCCCATGACAGTTCAGCATCGTCAGGGTTTGGACTTCTATTTATAAGAAGGCAGATCTATTAGGAGGCAATACAGATGTTTTTTTGCATTGAATCTTTGGAAAAGATGGAGGCATCTTATAAAATATACTTGAGGTGAACAATAACAGCGCATGTCTTTGCCCATGTTGAGCTGTCCTCCTGCTTTTGAGTTCAACTCTGTGTAAGTTACTGTGATCAGCATAACTTCAAACCCATGTTCTTGGGTCTCCTTCCTTACTCACGGCTTTTCTATTTCATGCTTCTCAAGTACGTTTTGAAGAAACTTGGGCTGAGGAAGACCCAAACTATGTCAAACTAAGGCATTTTCACATGAAGACATGAAGCATCCAGTATGATTTCCTGGGGCATCAGTCCTGTTCAGAGGATTTTGACTTATATAAAAGCCAGGCAGAATCAGTCACCAAAGTACAAGGGCTGCCTTTGCATCATTTCTTAGGAAGACTGCTGCTTCGGTGTCCTGGATAAAGTAATTCTCAGTACAGTGTTCAGCTTGGCAGACTGAGACCTGCCTTAAAAAACCCTAGGCTTTTGCCCAATAATAAGAGATGCGTTCACTTGTTACTCTCCAGATAAAAACACACTTGTAACACCTGTCCCTCTTTGCACTTCTTGCAAATGAAACCTCTTCACTGGAAAGGTGCCTTTTGTCAGCTCTGTTTTCCTGATCCATTAACATACGTGAACCCAAACCCTTCCTTCAATTTTAAAACTAAAAAAGCAGAAAATATTGTCCACACTGAGTGTCTTTAAAATGCCTCTTTCTCCTCAAGCAACATGAGGAAGTGATAGCATTCAGATTTTTCTGAAGCCTCTCAGGCAATTTATTGCTGGTAGGACAACCACTGAGCAATTAGATGAACAGGGCAGCAGAATTGGGCTTGGGCCTTACCCTGCTGCAGCTCTGTTAAAATGTGCCCCTCTCCCTCAAGAGTACAGACATAGCTATGGGTGTCCTTCTCATCTTTAGGTGTACATGCCTGGCCCGAACACAGCATCCTTAATGATCCTCTGACTCCTGGGTCCTGTTTGAAGCTTCGTTTGGGTGACCACTTCAAAAGATTACTAAGGGGGAGGGAGTCAGCTGCACACTTCCCCTCAGCACACCTTCTACACCTGGTAGCAAGAATATTTCCACACCTGATGTTTAAAATTCCTTCCCTCTCATTCTTTCCTTTTCATTTCAGACCCATTTCAATGATGAGTGCAAATTCAAAGAGATTCTCCTGCCAAACAACTACAATGCTTACGAATCCAGGATTTATCCCGGGATGTACATAGCCCTGAGCAAAAATGGAAGAACAAAGAAAGGCAATAAAGTATCTCCCACAATGACAGTGACACATTTTCTTCCTAGAATCTGAGACATCTCCCTTCAAACCTACCTCAGCATGGGGGAAGACGCAGAGCACGTTTGGGGAAAAGAAACATGGTGCACTTTTACTGGAGAGTTTTATGCAAGAGTAGGTGTAAGATATTTAAGTTAATTATTTAAATCTGTATATATTGCCACAAAATTTATTTATAGTTCCAATATTTTTTTTTTAAATTTCTGAAAACAAAACAAACCTCCAACCCAAGGTATTTCATTTCATGGTGCAACAGTAGAAGACTTCTGCTTTGTGGTTTATTTAATTTGTTTCTAAGTTACCACAGGTGTGCTGCTACTCCATGTCCTAAACCAGGTGAAATTCAATTCCTCTATTACAATGTTTTGCACTGTTTGTGTGTTATACGGTGTCTATCGTTGTACACGTGTTTGTTTGTTTGTTATGGTGGCTTTGTTCTCCTCTGCGTGTTTTCCAAACCCCCGTGACTCCCAAAGAAGCTCTTGGCCTCCGAGAAGGAGCGGTGGCGGAGGTGCCTGGGTGGGATGCCAGCGTGGAGCCACACACAATGCCTGACCTCCTTTGTGCGGCGTTGCTATTTAATTGGAACAGTATCGGTTTACCTCGGTACAGAAAGCGCAGTGCTGAAGAGCTACCCCACAAATCTGTTTTTAGATCTGCCAGTACTGAACTTTGAACTTTCCTGCAGTCTTCTTAGAGCTGCCAGGCGGTAGAGAGGCTTAAACACCTATATAAACTCAACAAGGTAGTTGTTTTTTTTTTTTTTTCTATTTAGGTAAACAGGAGCGTATGATCTTTTGCGGTCCCTAATGGAAGCTTTGATACGATTGCTTGGCATCAGGCTAAAAACAAAAGTGTCTGTCCCTCCCCCAACGAGCGCACTGTGAAACGCACTACCGTGAACGAATTATACTTTATTCAAATTAAATTCCCTTTCACATTTGGAGACTACATTCATTTTTCAAAGTTTGTGAAACTCTATAATACTCATAAGTTTTTAAAAGGCAAAAGCATTGGCTGGTTCATAGAAAACACAAGCTCCACAGAGAGAATTGAGATTGATTACAAGGAATTGAGGTTGTTTTGTACTATTTATTATTTTTGGTGCAGTATTTGGAAGGAGAAATATGCTGCTTTTTTTCTGTCTCATTCCCTGACAAAGCTGATTAATTTCTACCTCACTAACTCTCAAAGCCAGTCTCCTAACAAAATCTGCATGGAAGGAAGGTACACGCTTTTCTGCTTGGTCTTACAGTTCTGGAGGAGGGCCTGGGGGAACAATCGTAATCCCAAATCTCTCTTTTTCCATATGTAGCCAAAAGTATTCAGGATAGAGTTGGTTGCATCCTATTTGAGCCTTGTCACGTTTGAGCTATCTTTACCCGGTGGTTTACTTTTAGTAAGGATAATCATGGTGAAAATATTTGCAGACAGCTGTCAGGCTGCAGTACTATATCGTCATCAAGTAACCCTATATTTTTCTTTATATATTTTGCAAATGTAACTCATGTCTCTAACGTGATGAAGGAAAAGACAGGTTTGATTAAGGGGGAATCACTAAAAGGATCCATTTGTCCTTTTTTTGTTCTTTCTTTCTTTCTTTTCTTTAAAAGATACATCGCCTTTGGGGCATCAATATGTTAAGTGGGAACCAGGACTAACCACAACGTTTGATGACTTAGGGGATGTTCACAGATCATCTTCCAATGTAAATTAGTTATTTCTGACTACATGCAAATCTGAATTCAGCCTTTTTTTTTTTTTTTCTCTTTACATTCCTACACAAAAGCCTTTGTTTCTTTGTAATGGTATAGACTTGCCTGTATCCTCTACTTACACATGACCTTGAAGACAAAATCTACTCTCCAAAGTTCAGTAAGACCAGAGCAGACCAGGACCAGATCTTAAGCGAGCTGCTGTCAAAGCAAAAATAAGAATTTAGAAAAAGGAAGCCAAGTCAAGAGAGAGCGCCTAGGAAATGTCATGCCTAAGGATTTTTAATTATTTTTTTCTGTAATTTGGGGGATTTCTGTACTTTCTCTGTTTTCTATATGTGAGTAATCATTGTGTAATTATCACCACTACCTCTGACAACTGATGATTTTGTTCCATGTTTCAGATAGCAAAATCAGATCACAAAGATTTTCTCTGGGAATGGTTCTTCTTTGTCACTTTTCACTCCATTAAATCCACAACCGACGGCCTCACACAAGATATACTCAGAGGTAGTTGTTGTAACTTTGAAATATTGTGATAAAACCTTGATAACAATGTTACATGGTATGAGCTTTCACCATTTACCAGAATCTGTCTGTAGTTTTATACAGGTGCTGTTCAAGACTGTGGTGTATGTGCTGTGCACATCTAAATGCATAATAAACGATAAATGTTTACAATGTATGGCACCCTGGTATTGATTTTAACTCTTTAGAAGGGAACGCATGCTGCAACGAAAGACAAAAAAAATGCTATTTCACTTTCCCAAAGACCAGGGAGTCTTTGCACCTATGCCAGATACTTCACGAATGACAGCCTGGATTTCTTACTCAGCTAAAGTTCACCCTGCCAAAGTTGGAAATTGTCCAGGAAAGCCCAGCTTCATGAGCTCGGTAACAGATACGCACGCTTGCATCTGCCACGCTCCAGTGTTCTTACTTGTGTTATTTGTGTGGTTATTAACAACGGCGGCTTTTCGTGCGGCATCTAATATTAATGATCAGAGACACAAACCACATTTGACATTTATGTTGCTGGATGGTAACGTTACAAATGAAACCTGATTGCCTTTTTCTTGGCTTTAATGAGTGCTGCTCGCACGCCCTCTGTGAAGCAGGACTACATCAATGCCAGAGATTGCAGGATTACCTGTTTGATTTGAAATACTGTCTCTTTTTACAATTAATGATTATACTCATACAAGTGTATAGAAATATGAAGTGCTTTGTAGCACACCTTATGGCAGGATTCTTTTGCACGACTTTTATTTATAAATACTCACACATATGCACTTGTGTACACGCACACTATGTCAAATCTATGTACTTTCAGTTTTACGCATGGCTCACTCTCCTCCAAGGATTAGGGAAGATATGTAATGGGAATGACAATATTCAGGTTTGATCTTACACACCTTGATGGCAAAGGGAGTTTGTCCAGCTCAGGGCCATACAAAACAGAAAGCCAGACCCCAAGATACAGACTTCTCCATTTTCCACTGAGTGATGCTCTTTTTCCTGTTCCAAGAAAGGGGAAGGCAATAGATGAGCTGGGAATATCCAGCACCCTCACTCTGAGCAAGAGCAATTTCTCTCTAAAGTTGTATAGGCTCTATAAATACATAGTACAGGCGTTTTTTTTTTTAACTGGACAAGTATAGCTGCAGTGTGTTTAATGCTCCTATGAATAGAGACAGAATAAATAGGCAAGCAGACATACATAATCATTTTTCGTAATGAATTTTTTTGTTTACAATGCTTGTAAAAAAGAACAAATGTAAATTTATTACTGCCAGGTCTTCCAAAATTATAACAAAAAATTATGTCCAGGGACAAAAACTTGTTTCAGCCTTGGGGAGACATACAATTATAATTTTAAGATTGGAGATAAATCCCAAGACTTGGCTCTTAGGAAGGTGAGATTTCAGAGTAGTAGCTTTGCAGGTTCATAGCACCTAGAGTACTGGTGCCGCACATGTGGTCCTACCCCCACAAAAATATATGAGCCTGTTGCCACTGCAGATGGAGCAGCTTGAGATGTCACAAAGAACTCCAGAGCAACCTTCTTCCTCCTCTGGCATCACCTGTTTTTGCTTCATTGCTAAGCCAGCTTTCCTCACATTGCCTTTGGAGATAGTAAAAGAAATGCATTAAAGGCGAAAATTAATTTTAACCCCCCAAAAAAGGCCCTGATATATCATGTGCTGCAACATTTCTGAGATCAGCGAGAGCATCGTCATGCTCCAGGCATGCCCAGTGCTCCTGCCATCCTCTACCAAACATTTCTCTGCACAGAACAACCAAAAACCTTTCCTGAGGCCGGATTAACCCCTTCCCTAAGACAGGCACATTTCTCCCCACCCAGTGATGGTCCAGCCTGTCCTGTAGGATAAACAGAAGAGGAGCAGTGCCAGCCTGGCCCCGCGCCGTGCCCCTGCTTGCCAGGGGAAGGGCAGAGATGAGGCTCCAAGCTCCATCGCTTGTTTGCAGACTTGCATGCTTTAAATGGTCCGTGCTTAACATTTTCTGACTCATCTGTGACATCTACCAAGTTGTCTGTATCTAATCTGTGCTAATAAAAATCAGCATGACAAAACACTGCCTTGTATATAAATAGCCACAGGTTTCAGAGCGGTCACTGAGTTTATAGTGCCAGATTCAGTTGTTCACACTTTACCACTTGGTTTCCACCGCAGTATATTAACTGACCGTGCAAGTGGCCAATTAAAGAGAGTCTGTTAAGGGGTGAGGAGTCTTTTGATAAAGGCTAGCAAGCACTTCAGCCAGAAAGTTAAAAGGGATTCCCTGAAGCACTGCAGCTCCCTTTATACAACACAAAGTATTGTTGCTTGCCAAGCACAGATAAAAAATTTTTAATGTAGAAAACCTGGTCGGAAGCTAAAAAAAAAATAATAAAAAAACCCCCACAACAACCCCCACCCTGTTCTTCTTCTACCAAGTAATCTAAACATGGATGGGATAGTGCAAAATCATAATACCTAGCTCCTTTCAGGCAATACAACATGCAAAAAGGAGGCACAGCACAATTTTGGTTTCCTGCACATCAGCTGTCATTTATGGACTTCAAACCAGAAATACTATCCTGAACTGTTTGTTTTTAGAATTGATTACTTAAAAAAAATAGCTTACTATCAGGCCAAGAAATGCCTACAGCCAGTCACTTAAGGCAGACAATTACTTAATGTAAAACAACGACAATTTCTTATATCCTAAGTTCTGTTATACATTAAAAAGAAGTTCTTAGTGCTGTCTGTAAAACAGATTGATTGTTTTTTCATT